GACACAAAGGGGGGAGGACTAGCCCCCACACTTATTTACTCCAGAACTCTTGAAGATTGAGGGATAGGAGACTTAGTTAGAAATAGAGAGGGAGAGAGAACAGAGAAAAAACACAGGATAGACTTGAGTGGGCCTGGATCCTTATCCACTGGCAGAACTTTATTCCAAAGGTCTATTTATAACAATGCCAAGGAGTGGAGCAAAAGACCTCCCCCTCGCTAGTTAGACGCTTACAAACATCTGGTACCCAGGTCCATGGTCCAATCAACCTCCCATGCAGTCCTGCTGGGTACAACCACGAGGAAACCTAGTGGGCTCCAACAGGTCCCTCTTCTTTGTTTTTTAAAAGAAAAAGCTCTTGATGCAACCACATCGAACTTAAAGGCAAACAGGTTACAATTTTCTCAATCTTACATCTTAACGCAAACTCTTAATATTTCTTGCTAACAAAACATAGGATAAACTTCTGATGTATACATCTTAAACTTAAATACTTTCTTAACTTTACCAAACTGTGATGCATTAATATCAATCGGTTAACATAATAATTTCTACAAGCCTACTCTCAACCTACAATTTAGAACTATACTGTAGCTAGAGTTTTCCTGCCTGGCCACAGTCAGGACAAATCTCTGTCACCCGCCAGTCCCACAGCCACTCAGACCCAACCAAGTAAACACAGAGACTTATATTGCTTACAAACTGTATGACCGTGGCAGGCTTCTTGCTAACTGTTCTTATATCTTAAATTAATCCATTTCTATAAATCTATACCTTGCCACGTGGCTCGTGGCTTACCAGTGTTTTCACATGCTGCTTGTCATGGTGGCGGCTGGCAGTGTCTCTGACTCAGCCTTCCACTTCCCAGAATTCTCCTCTCTCCTTGTCCCACCTATACTTCCTGCCTGGCCACTGGCCAATCAGTGTTTTATTTATACAGAATGATATCCATAGCACTATACAAAACATAACATTAATTCACTCAAGTAACACGAAAATATTTTTTAAATTAAATATACTGAGGAATATTAATACTCCCCTTTTTCTTTAAAAAACAAAACAAAACAAAACTTCTCTATTTAAACAGTTTTATTTCTACATAAACAGTTCCATAAGCAGTTCATAAGTCATCACTGTTGATAGAATCTATATGCATAAGTAAATTCAAACTGTCCCATTGTAATGAAATCATTACTGTCCATTTTATTTTTTAAGTTCAAAAGTTCAAAAAGAGTTTTGGTACCATTCCTAAAAGTTCCTTTGAGCGCTCATAGTCAGGGCCTGGCTTATCAGCTGCCCTTAAGTCTATGTATAGCTGTCAGAATCGTAATGATTCTGAAGCAAACAGTTCCAAATAGAAATCCCACAACCAAACTTTTCAGTTTAATTAAGTCTCTCTAAAACCTTTGTTTTTAGCTACCGCTGCACTTTGCAGTCTGAAGCCTTCTGTAACCAGTCCCCGGCCAGGCTAGAGAGCTTCACCTCATAGCCACACGGGCTCAAGGCTCCTTTAGCTGCCATGAGCTGAAACTGTGGCCTTCCCACGGCACCCCCCGTCTTTGGGAGGAAAATCCATTACCTGCACCGCTGACAGTCCAAGCGCTCAGCAAACCTGGTCCCCGCCGCAGATCCCTGGTCTGACTGTTCAGCCTGGAGCACTCAGCAGTTCCCTGTCTTAGCTGCTCATCCAGCACTGACCTCACTCTCCGGTTCTGGAAGGGTCTGGTCTCCGCCGTTCACCGCTGTTCTGCTCCCTGTTCTCTTTTTCCAAGGCGTGTCGCAAACCACTGGGCTTTTTCTGCCGTTTGACTTTTTCCGGGTATAGCATCTCAAACGTTGCAGAACCTTGCTGTTCACCTTTCCCATAGCATGACATCTCTGCAGGGCTTTCCAAGCTGTTGCTTGTCATTAGCCTCTCTCGTGGTTTAGCTTGTTCATTTTTCACCGCGGCTTTCTTTCGGTAGAAAGCTTGTAGACCCTCATGCATCTGTCACATGCACTGCCTTGATGCCTTGAGGGTTTCAGCTTCCGAGATCCTCTAGTCGCTTTTTTCTGAAGTTGGCAGTCTCTGGAGCTGTTTCTTGTTGTTATTGGTGGCTTTCTGGAACTGCCAAGTCCACAGTCCACCCTGGACATTGCTCTCCGAGTCCCAGGTTGGGAAAACCTACACTAAATTACTTTTTTTTTAACCATATTTTTAAACCTAAGGCCTGTATATTCTAAACCTACATTTCTCTGACTCACTTTATACTAAATCTATGACCTATTTAAACCTACATTCTATTATTCAAGCCTACATAATAAACTTATATTCTATAGGACTATTTTAGTACTTTTTCAAATGTCTAACTTAGCAAACACCTAAAAGAGATATATTACTTCTTACTCTTAACTAACTTACACTAGGAAGAATCTCTTAGCAAACTCTCTACAGGGCTACCGTAAACCTATATTTATAAACCTTACCTAAGTCTCACTTAAGCCTAAACCTTACCTAAGTCTTAGTTACATTTTATAGGCCTACGTTAGTAAATATACTTCTGTATTACCTTAGCAAATATAGAAAAGAAAGAGAGGAGAGAGAAAGAGAGATCTATGAAGAGAATTCTAACGCTGCAGCTTTGCGGTATGTCCTTCACTGCCTAACCTATACATCAGAGAAGAAAATACCATTGCCTCCATTTTTCAATTCCTTATCAGCATGCCTACACTCACAACGTCCCCTACAATCCTTTTGCCAAGTTCCTGGTCCCTGTTCGGGTGCCATCTGTGGAGGACCAGCCCCCACACTTTTTACCCCAGGAACTCTTGAGGATTGAGGGATAAGAGACTTAGTTAGAAATAGAGGGGAGAGAAAACACAGTATAGACTTGGGTGGGCCTGGATCCTTACCCACCAGCCCAGAATTTTATTCCAAAGGTCTATTTATAACAATGCCAAGGGGTGGAGCAAGAGACTTTCCCCTCACTAGTTACAGTCACCTGGTACCCAGGCCCGTGGTCCAATCAATCTCCCATGCAGTCCTGCTAGGTACAGCCACTAGGAAACCTAGTGGGCTCCAACGAGAGAGAGAGAGACAGAGACAGAGACAGAGACAGAGACAGAGACAGAGAGAAAGACCGAGACCGAGAGAGAGGGAACCATTTCTCTACAAGATGTCTAGAAACATAAAAGTCACCCAGCCAGGAAAAAGGGATGACAAAGCATGAGTCTGGGCTGACACTATTGACAGATGAGCTGGGCAGGTTCCACTTCAATGGGATGATTAAGGAGAATCCTAGGGAACTGGAGAGATGGCTCAGCGGTTAAGAGCACTGGCTGCTCTTCCAGAGGACCCCGGTTCAATTCCCAGCACCCACAAGGCTCACAACTGTCTAACTCCAGGATCTAACACCCTCACACAGACATACATGCAAGCAAAACACCAATGCACTCAAAATAAAAATAGATTATTAAAAGAATAAAAAAAAAAGAAAAAGAAAAATCCTAGAGTGACCAAGAATGAGTCGTGATGCTTCTTAAGCTCTTCTTAGGCCCTGCTGATGGTTTAAATCCACTGCCCAAATTCATCTCCATGGCTTCTTAAAACCGATCCATGATTCGCATTCCATCAAATTCAGCTGTTGAAAGTGTACAGTCCCCAGGTTGGAGCGTATCCAGTAAGTTGTGAAACTTCCAATAATGACAGAACCTTTTTATTGCTCCCAAAAGGCATCCCACATCTATTAGCCATCACCCTACCTCATCCCCAACCTCACAGCCTTTGGAAACAACCAATCTCCTTGAAGTTCCTAGGGATGTGCCTACTCTTGACCTTCCCTATAAATGTAGTCGGTTGTGTCTGATTTTTTTTTAATTTTTCATAGTGTTTCCGAGATTCACCCAAGTGGTAGCATTCAAAAGTACTCTGTCTGTCTGTCTGTCTGTCTCTCTCTCTCTCTCTCTCTCTCTCTGTGTGTGTGTGTGTGTGTGTGTGTGTGTGTGTGTGTGTGTGTGTGTGTGTGTTGTGTGCAGGCATACACATTCCATGGAGCAGAGGACAACCCCCAGTTTTGTATCAACCCTTGCCTTTTTGACACAGGGTCTCTGGTTTACCACTGTTGATGCCAGTCTAGCTTAGAGGTTCATGAACTTTGAGGGGTTCCGCTGGCTCCTCCCCCACTCTCCCCATGGGAGCACATGCAGCTTTACGTAAGTTCTGGGGATCTGTACCCAGGACCTCAGGTTTGAATGGCAAGCACATTACCCATTGAGCCATCTCCTCAGCCCTCCTTTCTTTTTTTATGACTTAGAAATGTTTCATTACAGCTATTACTACATCTTTTAATTCGTCAGTTGATGGGTATTTGAAATTCCATTGTCCTTCAAGGCAATGGTCTCACAGAGGCTAATGAAAGTCAACAGGGCTCTGACTCACAGTGGCAGGTGAATGGCATAAATGCCTCTGTGTGAACCAGCACAGCAGGGGAGCATTTTGTACCTGTCTGTCTTTATTACATAAGCACACAATGGTTTTCAAGTACAAGCAGATATAGTAATAAAATGAAGCTTGCTTTGAGGAATTATTAAATTCAGAGCAGATTTTTTTTTTAAATATTATCTTAGTTCACAGAGGAGGTAAGTCCAACTACCAATCTGTAAGGTTCCACAAGAACCTCCTGGTATTTCAAAACTGGTTCTCATCTGGAGAAATATGGAGGACCACTGCTTCAGAGTCTTCCCATGGGAAAAGGCTGGGAGAGAAAGAAAGGTATTTGATGTAATCGTGGAACACTGTTTTGACATGAATGAAGCCTGCAGACAGAGGTTCTCTATGCTTCATACTGGCTGGCATTCAGCTCTTCTACAACCAGATAGACCTACTGCAGCTGTCTTGGGAATGTCCTAATGCAGCAGATTAACCCTAATCCATGCTCATGGATCCCCAGAAACGAAGGGACAACCTCCACTTTTATCTTAATTTCCTTGCTAGTATGATAAACGACTTGAACAAAAGCAAGTTAAAGGAGGTAAGGTTTATTTGGCTAACAACCCCAGGTTACAGTCCATCATTGCAGGAAGGCCAGGCAACAGGAACTTGAAGGGGCTAGTCACATGACATCCACAGTCAGTAGCAGAGTGCAATGAAGTCAGGCATGTTTACTTGTACTCACCTGGCTTTCTCCATTTTCATACAGCTCAGGATACTTGCCTAGGGAATGTGCTACCCACAGTGGGTGGATCTTCCCATCCCAATAAATATAATCAAGATAATCCCCCCAAAGACATGTCGACAGGCCAAAATGATCTATATAATCCTCCATTGAGAATTTCTTTCCAGGTGATTCTAGACAGTTAAGCTGACCATCAAAACTAACCATCATAACTCCAGCCTCTTTCAAATTGTGATCATGTAGAAAGCCAGAACTATTACTCCTTCAAAATATCTACTTTAGCAATAGTGTTAGTAGCAATTATTTTACCATCAAGTTTAAAAAATACTTTTATTATTATTTCTATTTTTTCTCATGTTTAAGTAGTATGTGTGTAGACATGTTTGCCTATGTGGAAGCTCGTGTGTGTGTGGTGTGTGTGTGTGTGTGTGTGTGTGTGTGTGTGTGTGTGTGTGTGTGTACATGAGAATATGTGTGTAGAGGCCAGAGGTTGATAATGGGTTTTTTCCTAGACCGCTCCCCACTTCATTCTTTGAGGCAAGGTCTTTCAGTTGAAGCTGGAGCTCACTAATACAGCTAGTCTGGCTAGCCCATTTGTTCTGGGGATCCCCATCTCCAACTCCTGAGTGTTGGGATTATAGGTAGGGCACCATGCCCACTTGGCATTATGTGAGTTCTGGGGATCTGAACTCCTGTCCTAATCTTTTCCAATAAGCACTTTAACCACTGAGCCGCTTACCCAGCCCTTTACCACAAACTTTCAATCAGAACTACAAAACAAGAAAATGACCGGTGATTGCAACTTAGGGAGCAATGGGTGAGTTACCTGACACTTTCCTGTTGGACATCTGGAGGGTACACACCACCAGGGCTGGCTGATGATTCCCAGGGATGAATACCAGCAATGTCTCAGATCCCAGACCCCATAGCCACCGTGATCATGTGAGATCAGAAAACCAATACCCGTACCTTCAGCCCCAGTTGCAAACCAAATCCTGTACATCTTCCCTGGTAAAGCCCTGGCAAGGCAGCTGGTAACAACAATAATAAAAATAAAATAGCTGAGCAGGTGCATCAGCCTTGAATGGCTTATGATTTGAATGAACCTTAATGAGTTTGGTCACCAAACCTGGCTTTGCATGTCTGTATGTTGTATGTTTTTAAGAAAGAAAGGAAAAGGGTTGGGGGTGGTATGAAAAGACAGAGACAGAGAGAGAGAGAGAGAGAGAGAGAGAGAGAGAGAGAGAGAGAGAGAGAGAGCCAGAATGCAAGCATCTCATTAACCTCATTTGTAGCAGCCATCTTCAGGGTAAAAATTGCCCAGGGTTCTTCTCCTCTGCCTCCTTTCCTTCACCCCCTTTCTTCTCTCCTCTCTTTTCCCACCACTTGTTTTCCCTGTGAACCCCTTGAGTCCACCTGGCCTGGGTCCCGCCCTGCAGTCTGGGCCTACAGCCGCCTGCAGAGCAGAGAGGGCCGACTCCGTCCCATGTCACCCCCTGGGCAGTTCCTTGGCAGAGATTTGAAACATTTCTATTTAAATGACATTTGAACAAACGCAGAGGGGTTCAGTGGTACTTCAATCAAATGCCGTGGGATCTGGTTGGGAGCCTGGTCCCTGTGGACAGTGTGCGGGGAGTTCCCTGTGTTTTCTGATTTGAATTGCTTTGTTCTCCTTCCAGCAAGGGGGAAGGAGGGGGATACATTTGGCCGAAAATGAAACATTTCCCTTTTAAGTCAAAAACTTGAACATGGCTTGGAGGAGAGAGTTTAAGATCCATAATCCCCGGTCCTGAGCAGAAGAGAAACATGCCTGAGATTTCCTCTCTGGAACGGAGAAGTCAGGGAAACAGCTACTGGGTAGAGCAGCCTGGAGCCCTCTGAGAGGCTCTATTTCACAAGCTCAGGGGCCATTGCTCGGAAGCCACCTTCTGCCAGGCAGCTGGACCCAGTTCCTTTGGAAGTCCACACAGAGCTGTGTTCTCTTTCAACTGCTGGGACATGGAAGACAGGAGAGAGGGAGGAAGCAGGAGAGGAAAGGGGGAGAGAGAAGAAAGAAATGGGGAGAGGAGGAAGGGGGGAGAGGAAGAGGAAAGACAGAGGCTAGAGAGGAAGTCAGAGAGGGGGAGAGTAAAGGGGAGAGATTGGACACTTCATCATCATGTCGCATTCCTGACAAAAATCAGCTTGAAGGAAGAGTGTGTGGGCTCATAGGATGAGGGGATTCTGTCCATCCTGGAGGGAAAGCATGGCCACAGGAGCGTTTGGCAGCTGGCCACTCTGTCTCTGTAGTCAGGAAACAGCGAGAGAGGAATGCTGATGCTCCGTTTGCTTTCTCCTCGTAGACCCCAGCCTACAAAGGTGTGCAGCACACATTCAGGCTCCATCCTCCCTCCAGTTAAGCCTCTCTGAAAATGTTCTCATGGGCCCACCCCCAGGTGTGTCTCCCAGGTAACTCCAAATCCACTCAAGTCATTGAAGATGAGCTGTTGAGGAAGGAAAACACACACGGGCCGCTGTTCTGTGCCCTTTCACCTCTCCCCACGCCTGGGTGGGCACCCAGAGCACTCATTACCACGCGAGGTCCTCTGGTCTCAATTGGACCAGCTGTGTATACCTGGAGGTTCTGCCCACGATCTTCCTTGGTCCAGGACCATCATCCATCACAGCATTGGTGGTACAGTCGCCACAGGAGTGAAGAGAATGGCAAGTCTTTAAGAAAATCCCTAAGTTTGGATTTCTAGGAAAAAACAGAACCAGACAACCCTCTGGGGTGTTACCCATTTTGAAAACGGTTTGAATCATCAAGTAATAGTGCTCAAAGAAATGTGCTTCAGTAGCTCAGCTGGATTTCATCACTTTGCCAGTGATAAAGGGGGCACCTGAATGGACCCCTATCCTCTAGACAGAAAAGAACCCTATTAGTTTTATCTTGAAGCCCAACCTTCTCTCTCATGAAGCCTTATACTTAGCCCTTAAACCCAATAAATGTTTAACTAATGAGCATTTGAATGGATGTTTTCTATCCTTCTCAGGGTCCAAAACTGCTATCCCTCCCAACCCATTCCTATGGTGAACCTACCCACCAGTGTGCATTAGTTGCCAAGGCCTTTGGGAAACGATTAGATCATGAGTTCGGAGCCCTGCTGAATCCTCAAACAACAGCTCTGCTCCTTCCACTTCCACCACTGGAGGACAAACTTGAAAGCACCTTCCAGGAAGCAGAACGCAGGGTTACCAGACATCAAATCTACTGGGGCTATAATTTATGTAGCTTCCAGAACTGTGGGACATAGTGATATTCACAAGCCACACAGTTTGCAGTATTTTCTTGTAGCAGCCTGAAATGTTCTGAGACATTCGGATGATAAAATCGTCAGAAATGAAGCAGAACCAACCCAGGATGCCCCTTCTAAAGTCTCACTGAACCATAACTCTCTTTCTTTAGGGCCCAGCCTTGATTTCACTTCGTGCAGAGGAGGAACATAGACTTTCTGCAAGGATTTCATGCACTCAGAGACTTGAAAAAATTCCAAGGAGAATACTGCAACTTCTGATCAGACGTCTTCGCATTAATGTTTATGTGGGCAGCATGCTGTATTAACTTTTGCTTGTAGGGGACTAACAGCCTACCTGAAGCCCCGTAAGAATTTATCGCTATACATGAACCAAAAATACAGGGATAAATTTGGGTCTGTCTATAGCTGAAATCGAGTCTATGAACAGCACAGAAACTTACTCTCAGGGATGGGTAGGAAAAAAAAAAAAACTGGGCTTGACCAGGACATGGTGTTTGCATGTGTGGAAATTGAAGTCGCTTGATATGTACAACTAATGCATACTAGTAAACAATTAAAGAGCAAACTCTGGGGGCTGGAGAGAAGCTCACTAGTTAAAGGCACTGACTGCTCAGCCAGGGGATTTGGGTCTGATTCTCAGCACCCATACAGTGACCACAGCTGTCTGTAATTACAGTTCTAGGGAATCCAACACCTTCAGTAGTCTGACCTCCGTGGGCACCAGACTGCAAGGACTACACAGATATACATGCAGGCAACACATGCGTGTGAAGGTGTGAATGCACATATGTGTGAAGGCCTGAGGACAACCTTGGGTGCTATGCTCAGGAACATTGTCCACCTCTTTTTTTTTTCTTTTTTTTAAAAAAAATAAATTATTATGGTGATATTTTATTTGTACTGAAATGTGATTTTATTTGTATGTTAATAAATAAAGTTGCCTGGGGGTCAGAGCTAATGGCAAGCCATAGCAGAAGCCGGGCAGTGGTGGCACACACCTTTAATCCCGATCACATGACAGGCAGATCTCTGTGTGTTCAAGGATACAGCCAGCATAGAGACACACGCCTTTAATCTCAATACCAACCATAGAAGACCTGGAGGTCTGTATAGACAGGCAGTGAGTGACGAGGAGGTCATGTGGTTGGGTTTACAACCAATGAGGAGGCAGAACAGAAAATCAATAAAAAGACAGATACACAGGAAGTAGGTCTCTTTCTGAGGGGAAGGACAACAGAGGCAGCCAAGGGTAAGAAAGGTTTTTTAGTATCAGCTCTTAGCTACTGCTCTGACCTCTTGGACTTTTAACTCTGAATTTGGCTCTGTGTTTCTTATTTAATAAGACTGTTACATCTACATTGTAACTAATTCTTGCCTGGTAATTGTTTTGTTATATGTAATTTTACTATGTAAAAGTTAAAACCTTCCTTTTTGAAAAAAAGAAAAAGGGGAAGTGCTGTGGATGATTGATTGATAAATAAACACTGATTGGCCAACAGCCAGGCAGGAAGTATAGGCGGGACAAGGAGAGAGGAGAATTCTGGGAAATGGAAGGCTGAGGCGGGGAGACGCTGCCAGCCTCCCCCATGAGAAGATGTTAAGATACTGGTAAGCCATGAGCTATGTGGCAACTTATAGATTAATAGAAATGGGTTAATTTAAGACATAAGAACTAGATAACAAGAAGCCTGCTGCAGCCATACAGTTTATAAGTAATATAAGTCTCTGTGTGTTTACTCGGTTGGGTCTAAGCAGCTGCGGGACCAGCAGGTGAGAGAGATTTGTCCTGACCATGGGCCAGGCAGGACCAGGAAAGCTCCAGCTACAAATTATTTTATGTACCTGGTGCTTGCAGAGGTCAGAAGAGGGTGTCTTTCCAGTATCCACATTGATCAGGTCACAAACACCTATAACTTCAGCTCCCTCCTCTGGCCTCCACAGGCACCCACACATATATGGCATACACTTATGCAGATAAACGCATGTATAAAAATAAAAGTCTTTAAAAAAAATAACTTAAGTAAGTAGACAGGTATGTTTTCACCAATGTATTAGTGCCGCTCTCAATCTGGTTAGAGGAACTTCTTTTTGCCATCGACAGCAGTTAAAGCAAACTCCTACATGGCCAAAGTTCTGAGAATAAGTGACCACTGAGTGCTCAATCCTGAATGAAACACATCAATGCCCCACTTCATCCCTGGCACTCAGGGACCATCTTAGAAGAGGGGACAGAAAGAGTGTAAGAGCTGGAGGATGGGGAGGGGTGCTGTGCAATGCTCTCTTTTAAACACGATATAGCTGATGCACACACGAGCTCACAGGTGGAGGAGGGGCTCCTGAGGCAGACCTCTACCCTGAGGAGATATCGGCAGCTGATGGCTCCTGAGGAAGGGAGAATAATGTAAGTTAGGTTTTCTTAGGAGAATACCCCTGGTAGGTTGCCCACCCCTAGAAGATAGTCCCAAGCCCATGTGTGTGCAGGCAGCACTAACTGGATTCAGTGGGTTAATAAAAAAAGAAAAGCAAAAGAGAACATGAAGGCGGGAGGCTTGTTGGGGGCATCTAGATGAGGGGGAGGGGACTTGGGAGTGGCTATGAGCAAGACACATGGTATACAGGAAGGAATTGTCAGAGACTAAATAAGAAGCAATCTTTAAACAAAGCAGCACGATATTGTCATAGAAAAAGATGCATGAACTAATGGAACAAAACCAGGACACAGGAACCAATTCACACATATATGGTTAACTGATTTTTTTCTTCATGGATCTGTATATATGAAGATATTTTTATTTTTTATTTTATCTGTTTTTCTTTATTTTAGTTTACATACTGACCACAGTTTCCCCCTCCTCTCCTCCCGTTCCCTCCCCCCATCCACTCCTTCTCCCTCCCCATTGAGGAAGGGTAAGGCCTCCCTTACCCTCTCTTCAACTGGACTCTCGGAGCTCGGCCCAGTGCTTGGCTGTAGATCTCTGCATCTGCTTCCATCAGTTACTAGATGACGGCTCTATGATGACAATTAGGGTAGTCACCAATCTAATTACAGGAGAAGGCCAGTTCAGGCTCCCTCTCCACTGTTGCTAAGAGTCTCAGCTGGGATCATCCTTGTGGATTCCTGGGAGTTTTGCTGGCACCAGGTTTCTCCCTAACCCCATAATGGCCCCCTCTATCAAAATAACTCTTCTATTACTCTCCTGCTCTGTACCACCCCCAACTCAACCATCCTGATCCCTCATGTTCCCATTCCCCCATCTCCTCTCCTCTACCCCACCCCCACCCACTCCCAGTTTACCCAGAACATCTCATCTATCTCCCCTTCCCAGGGAGATCCATGCATCCCTCTTAGGGTCCTTCTTGTTACCTAGCTTCTGAGGCTGAAGATTGTAGTCTGGTTATCCTTCCTGGAACTCACTTTGTAGACCAGTAGATCAGGCTGGCTTCGAACTCACAGAGATCCACCTGCCTCTGCCTCCCAAGTGCTTAGGATTAAAGGCGTGAGCCACCACAGTCCTTGTTTTCTTTTTGAAACAGGGTCTTCCACTGCAGCTCAGGCCAATCTGGAGCTATGTAGCCCAGGCTGGCCTTGAACTCATGATAATGAGTTCATCCTTCTTCCTCATCCTCTCAATTGATTTTTGACAAGTTTACCAAAAACATACAGTGAGAAAAGGCAATGTGCTGGGAAATTGGATATACACATACATAACTCTTGCTGAAACCAAGTCTTAAGAGAAAAATAGAAATGTGTGACTTCTCACACAATGAGAAGACTTTTCCCAGAGACCATGGGAGCATCTGTGTGGCAGCCTCCAGCCAGAGGGTAGAAAGCAGCACCCATTCACAGCAGCAGGTGACTCCGAGCTGAGCAGGATGCCTCCTCTCAGAGGCAGTGATACAGCCAACCCTCTGCTGGATGAGGGAGCTGCTGTTGAAACACTGGCAGGCTGGGGGATGTTACAGCTCTTCTGAGATCTGCCTAGCACTTCTGAGACATCTCCTGTCGCTCTTGATTGCCTTTATACCCATCTCTCAAACTTCCTTAACCATGGTAACCAGAGCGAGCCTCAGCTCCATACTGCTCAAAAGGATCTTCCATGCTTTTCATTCTGCTCCCTTCTAGCATGTGTATGCTTAGGCAGGTGGCTAACATCCTAATGCAAAGGAAGTCAGTGTAGACATATTGTGCCTTAGTGAAAAGTGGATACCTGAGCTTTTTTAACTGGGGAGAGGAGGAGGACTGCAGAGATGGCTCAGCATGAAAGAGCACTGGCTCTTCCAGAGGACTCAGATTTGATTCCCAGCACACAGGTGACAGCCCATGAATGGCTTGTAATTTTACTTTCAGGGGATCCAACACTGTCTTCTGGCTTCTGAGGGTACTACACACAACTGGTGCACAGACATACATACAGACAAAGACCCATACACCCAAAATAATGATTTGAAATTTTTGATTATGTGGAGGGGGATATGGGAATACAGGTACCATGGCACACATGTGAGAGTCAGAAAGACAACTTTGTGGAGTTGGTTCTCACCTTCCAACCTTATGTAGGTTCCAGCAATGAAACTCAGGTTTTCAGTCTGGTACTGTCAGGCAGCAAGCACTTCTTCTGCCTGAGACACAGCACTGATACCTACAAGCACCTTTGAGCAAGGGAAAGAAATCACCTAGACCAGTATCTTTAAACGGTCAATAGAAGAAGCTGGATTTCTACCATCAGTTGTGGAATATTCCTTTATACTGTGTGAAGATATGTCACTGTGGTTGGTTTAATAAAATGCTAAATGGCCAATAGCTAGGCAGGAGGCATAGGTAGGACTTCTGGACAGAGAGAACTGTAGGAAGAAGAAAGGAGAAGTTCCCAGCCTGATGCAGAGGAAGCAAGACATGCAGGAAGAGAGGTAAAAGCCACGAGCCATGTAACAGCACATAGATTAATAGAAATGGGTGAATTTAAGTTTTCAGAGCTAGCTAGAAATAAGTCAAAGCTAAGACTGGGCCTTTATAATTAACAATAAGTCTCCATGTCATTTTTGGTGAGCTGGCAGCCCAAAGAAAAACCCATTTACAAAGAATGATGGTAACTATTGTTTAAAACAGTGCTGTCACCAGATATGGGGATGTACACCTTTGATCCCAGCACTCAGGAGGCAGAGGCCTTGTGAGTTCAAGGCCACTCTGGCCTACATTGTGAGTCACAGGCCAGCCAGGGATACACAGTAAGACCCTGACTTAAAATAAATTAATAGTACTTTCAACAAAAGATTTGAATAGGACTTCATAAGAAGAGAATATCCAAATGGGCCATAACCATAGGGAAAAGCATTTATGTGTTTAAATTCTTTAAAGTAATACCATGGGGCCAAAATACAAAGAGTAAGTAGAAACCCCACACACTAGAAAGGACATAACTTGGTGTAATCACTTTGCAAAACTTTTTGATGGTAATTATTCATGTAGAACATACATGTACCCCACAACTGAGCATTCCATTCCTCAGAAGAAATGCCCAGATCTATTCCCTAGGCAACATAAAAGGAGTATGGATAGTGGAATTCATAAATTTTAGTTTCTACCCTCACCATATGCAACATGTATCCACTCAATGGATTATTAAATTCACTCTGCATATGTTTAACCATGTGCAGACAGATAGATAGATAATAGACAGACAGATAGATAGATGACAGATAAATAGATAGGTAGATAGATAGATAGATAGATAGATAGATAGATAGATAGATGACAGATATCTCTGCTCAGTGAGCATGAATCAACACTATATATATATATATATATAATGAATCTCACTAACATACCTTATGACCCATTTACATAACATTCAAGAAGTCTCATCTACATGAAATTCAAAAACATCCAAACTAATCTAAAGTATTAGATGTCAGGGTCATGGCTACTTTTATTAAGGGGAATATTATTGGCTGACAACCCCAGAGAGCTGGAAGCCCCTTACAAGAGAGAGTTCTCTTTGTGAAGAAGCCACCAAGCTGTACCCCAGTTGTTCTGTGCACTTTGTTATTTATGCCAAACTTCAATGAAAACGTACCTTTAAAAAATACTGCCTGCTCAGAAGATACACCGAGCAGATCAGTGTCTCTGTGATTCATGTGCCTTTGCCTTTTAACAACAGTTCCGTTCTTTCAGAAAACGGTCCTTTCATTGTGACATCAATGTCATCCATCAGGCACGTCTGTCTTTCCCACCCTACAGACAGCTGTGTCCTCCGGCCCCACGCTGACCAGCCCTTTGTGTGCAGTCCGCTGTTTATCAGCAGGGCCAGCTCTGCTGCTTCGCAGCTTCTAACCCCTTCCCCAGATGCTACGGCTGGTTTGTGTTTCGCAGATAAAGTTCCGCTGATAAACAGTGGATGAAACAGAAAGATCACAGGACTCTCAATCTCAGGCCTCCTGACTCTCCACCCTGGATCAGTTGTGTGACTTTTTTGAGCCTCTAATTTCTTCTCTCTAGAATATAGTAATGACCGTACCTGTCCCATCGGAAGAGTCCTTAATAAACATGAGTTAGCATTGTGACTGTCATTGTTAATGGAGTAGGAGGAAGAGAAAGATCTCAAATTAGCCTCCCCCCCAACTTCAAAATTAATGTTTTATTGAGAATAAAAAAATTAAGGAAAAAAAACATGAAATGCACATTAAAGAAACCGGTGCCAAGGAGAGCACTCAGTTGACAAAGTGCTTGCCTCATAAGCATAGAGGTCTGAGTGCAATCCCTAGACCTCATGGAAATGCTGAGTAAGGTGCTGCACACTCCCCACCCCAGTGCTGGGGAAATGGAGACCGGCAGACCCGTGGAGTACACCAGGCAGCCACAGCAGCCACGTGGATGAGCTTCAGGTGATGAGACGGACCTTGTCTCAATGATGGTGGACAGGGGCTGGAGAGATGATTCAGGCATTAAGAACACTTGCTGCTCTTCCAAAGGACTGCAGTTTGGATTCAAGCACCCACAAGGTAGCTCACAACCATCTGTATCTATACTTCCAGTATAATTCCAGGGTAAATGACATCCTCTTCTGACCTCTGCAAGCACCAGGCATGTACAAGTCAGATAAAATATTTTTTTAAAAAAAGGAGGTGGACAATGTTCCTGAGCATAGCACCCAAGGTTGTCCTCAGGCCTTCACACATATGTGCACTCACACCTACACATTTGCACACACACACACACACACACACACCACTGGCCACTTTGTTTTTTTCGCATATATGCATGTGGCAGAAGAATAAAACCTGAAGAAAAGCGTCATTAACATTAACATATGAAAGAAACCAGTTGGTAGAGAAAGACTGAATGCCCTTCCCCAAACAGAGCATCATACAATCAACACAGCATGCCCAGAAAGGCACATGATACTATGTAAATGTCCTATAACTGGTCATGTGGTTCGTGACCCAATGCCTTCAGGGATTTCCTCCCTACCTACTAGTCCACTCCCATTCTCAGAATGTTTTCCCTTTCTTAATAAACTGTCTCTTTTCCTATTGTAACTGTGGGTCCCTGGAGCAATTCTTTGCTGTGGGACACAAACACTTGGATACTTCAGCAGGTGCCCCAGAACTCACATCCACACTTACACCAAGCATGTATGTGTGTGGCGTGTATATATGAATGAATGCGTTTGTATGTGTATGGGGGCACATCTACACATATGTGCAGGTGTTTTTCAAGGCTCCAGGTTGATATCAGGAGTCTTCCTCCATGGTTCTACACCTTATTCACCAAGTCAGGGTCTCTCAATTGAACCAGACCTCACTCATACTGACTTACTCAGCTAGACCACTTGCTCCGAGGTTTCTCCTCCTCTGTCCTCCAAGAAGCAGAATTACAGGTTGCTGCATACCCACCTGGCATTTATGTGGGTGCCTGGGAGCCAAACCCAGGTCCTCCAGCTTGCTCAGGAAGCACCTTACCCACTGAGCCACCAAGGCCTATTTTTTCTCTCCAGCAGTGCATTATGGATCCATCCCTGCGTCATCACAGAGTCTTTATTAACTGCACACCATGCCTTTCTACAAAGGCAGCCTTTACTTTGCCGTGCTCAGTGTTGGGGAAATACTTGTTCCCAAACCTCTCCGGCTGTAAACAACAGAGCAATAAACATCTCTGCCCATGATCTGCTCAAGCTGTTCAGAACCTCGCTGGATTTCAGTTTGAAAGAACTCAGTAAGA